ATACCTTCCGGGCCCTTCTGACCTAAACCCTAAATCCTAAATCCTAAATCCTAAACCCTAACCCCTAAACCCTAAACCCTAAACCCAATGCTGTTAAGGCCCAGTGATCAGAGTCTGCCTTTTCAGGTCCACTCGTGTGGAGCCCGTTTAGGGTTTTAGGGTTTTAGGGTTTAGGGTTTAGGATTTAGGGTTTAGGGTTTAGGGTTTAGGGGTGTAGGGGTTTAGGGGTTTAGGGTTTAGGGGTGTAGGGCTGTGGGATGTTTATTCGGGGCTCTCGGGTTTCAGGGCCTAGGGTTTCTATCCAAGCAGATGAGTTGTTGCGGGTCTTGTAGCTTGTTTGTTGTAGGTTTTCCTTCTCATGTGTTTACGGGTGTAGGCTTTAGTGCTTAGGGTTTCAGCTATAGACTCCGGGGTTTGTGGTTGAGGGTCCGAGTGCCCACTAGTTCAGAGCTTGGGTTACTGTATGCTTAGACGTGATCGTAGGACAGCATTGCTTTGCGCATCTGCATACAGACTCGTTACTTAAGATTTGTGATCCGAAATTGCCCAACATTCATACAGAGCTGGACTCAACTACTTCATGTACACAGGCATTCAAAAGCGAAAGCGCAAATCAACCCGAAAACCCCGGAACATCGTCTCAAACTCATAGTCACGCTATACGAAAACCCATGGGGAACCCTGGAGTACAAACCTTAATCTTGTGCTAGAACTCAAGACCCGTACACAACCCACCCAAACCGCAGCAACCCCAAAAGGTGTTGGATGAGCTTGATTGAAATACCCTTTGCAAGTCCAACAAAGTCGACCAGAGACCCATACCCGCCCACAATAACCTGTACCAGCTCATTATTTAGTCTACGATTATCAATCCCTAAACCCTTGAAGCACTGTGATTATTGAAACCCCACCCTAAGCCCGATAAGGAACCCCCAATTGTATTTGAAGAAATAATGAGCGCCTATTAAACCCATACGAGCCTACAATCCCTGAACCCTAAACCCTAAATCCTAAACCCTATGAGCCCTAAACCCTAAACCCTATGAGCCCTAAACCCTAAACCCTATGAGCCCTAAACCTGAAACCCTATGAGCCCTAAACCCTAAACCCTATGAGATCTAAACCCTAAACCCTATGAGCCCTATACCCTAAACCCTATGAGCCCTAAACCCTAAACTAAACCCTATGAGCCCTAAACCCTAAACCGCAACTTCACACCAGGCGGTGCGGCAGCCGAGGATGCCATTCGGGCCAAGGTCATGTGCAAGGCCGGAAAGTTCTTAAACCCTAAAGCCGCCGTTTAAAGGGAAGGAGGGTTTAGGGTTTTAGGGTTTTGGGTTTAGGGTTTAGGGTTTAGGGTTTTAGGGTTTTAGGGTTTGGGGTTTAGGGAGTTTAAAGGGAAGGAACCTTCTGGAACCCAGTTCAGGGTTTTCGGGTTTTGGATTTTTGGGTTTAACCTGGGGCCCCAGATAATTGCCAACACTGCTCTGGTGGGTTTCTTACTATAAATATAGCAGAATATACCCCAACACCTTGTTCTACTTATTAAGAGCACTATATTCGGGTCTTCATTGATATCAATAAGTTGGCAACTCTTGCTTCCAGCGGTCGATGAGACGCAGCTTTCCCAACGGTGTTGGCACTGCAAGACCACAGAACGTATACTGATAGCGAGAGTGGGAGAGGGGGGGAGAGGGGAGAGGGCGAGAGGGGGAGAGGGAGAGCGAGAGATTGAGAAAGAGAGAGAGAGAGAGATTAGGGTTTTGGAGCTAAGGCCTTTGGTGCTTTAGGTTTGGGGAATATCGATTGTTTTATTTGTTCAGAGTGGGGATGATTGTGAGAAAACAATTGATGCTTGCTGCAAACCGTTCTTTATATTTCACGGTGCTCGTGTGAGCCATTCCCATCAAACTCAAACCAAATCGATATTGGCTACACCAATGCAGCCTGGCCAAAGGTATGCCGTGTCACCGCGTAGTGGCTACAGTTTTCAGGGACTAGCTAACCCTCCGTAAATGAAGGCATATTTTGGGACGCGAATCCCAAGAACTAGCGCCACAACAAACCACGTGCGGTAGGCCGTTCATATGGGGGGTTGTCAAAATTATGGTCCCTTTTTGGGTCCTTATTATAATACGGCACCTATCATTTAGGGTACCCCAAAAACGACACTGATTTTGACAACTACCCATAAATAGGGGACCCGCCCTAATATAGTACCCTAAATAGTAGGATCCTTATTATAAGGACCCCAAAATAGGGTCCCCTAATTTTCGGAAACTCCCATATAGCGGGCAGTTCTACAAAGCAGGAGGCCCTGCAGAACAGACTCACAAAGCCCAAAGCTCCAACATCGCAACCCCTACCCAGAGGGTCCATATACACTACCATTATGGAATTAGGTCCCAAAAGACCATCCCTATTATGGTTTTGGAGACCTCATCCCATAATAGTAGTGTATATGGACCCTCTGGGCTATAGAGCCCGAAGCAGTAAACCCTATCCGCAAAATCAGCGAGCGTAAGAACAGGCTCACCCTAAACCCTAAACCCTAAAGCCCTAAAACCCTAAAGCCCGAAAGCCCTAACGCCCTACAGCCCTAAAGCCCTAAAACCCTAAACTCTAAGCTCTGTGAGTTCAGGGCTTCGAGCAGGAAGGGTTCCCCTCAGTTGGCCTCAGGAAGCTGCGGATCGCGTTAGCCAGGCAGGGCACCCTGCGGAAATCCAGGGTAAGAGTTTCGAGTTTCGTAAGCGTTTTGGGTTTAAAGGGTTTAGGGGTTGGGGTTTTAGGGTTTAGGGTTTAGGGAGTTTAAAGGGAAGGAACCCTTCTGGAACCCAGTTCAGGGTTTTCGGGTTTTGGATTTTTGGGTTTAACCTAGGGGCCCTAAATAATTACCAACACTGTTCTGGTGGTTTTCTTACTATAAATATAGCATGATATACCCCAACACCCTGTTCTACTTATCAAGAGCACTTTATTAGGCTCTTCATTGATCTCAATAAGTTGGCAACTCTTGCTTCCAGCGGTCGATGAGACGCAGCTTTCCCAACGGTGTTGGCACTGCCAGACCACAGAACGCATACAGATAGCGAGAGTGGGAGAGGGGGGGAGAGGGGTGTAGGGTTTACTATAGGGACCTAAACAATTATTTTGCGGGGTTCCTTATTAGAACTATGGCAACTATGGTATAATATAGATCCTCCCTGAATTCGTTTTCAGCTTTTCTCGTCATGGATTCGTCCTGGAGATCAGTCTGGACACCGTCTTCGAGTGGTTACCAGGATTCACGTGCCCAGGGTTCAAGTTATAGTATAGCATATACTTTTGGGGCCCAAATACCTACAAAGTAGCTACCATACTACTACTTGGACCCTTTGGGGTGGGAAATCTACTCATGGGAGCTGTCGGGTGGACGATGCGAGCGATGCAAGATACTTGGAGCAAAGTCAGGTGTGTCAAGACCAGGCACGAGGAAGCTGGGCAGGTGGGGGTTTAGGATTTACGTCTTCGGGCTTATGCCCTCCAAATGGGGGTCTTTGAAAACAGGGGACCCTAATATAGTACCCTAAATAATAGGATCCTTAATATAAGGACCCCAAAATAAGGTACCCCTAATTTTCGGAAACCCCGAAGCTTAAAAATTCTGGAGTGGCAAACAACGCAAGAGCTCGGGACCGGAGGTCACCAGCGAGGCACAGGCCGCGCAGCTGGCCCTCGAGGACACCTCATTGAACGGTTAAGCGGGGTCGTGGGGTCTAGGGTGTTCAAGATTCAATGTTTAGGGTTTTATGGTTGTTCTATGTTGTTTTAAGGTGGAGGGTTTAGGGGGTGCTCGTTCCTTGTAAGACTCCCCTTGGGATTGGGCTCCTTGATGGGCTCCTTTGTGGGCTCCTCTACAGGTTTGCCGGAGGTGGCCTTGTACCGGAGTCTGTGATTGATCCCCTAAACCCTAAACCATAAGAGTTGTGTGTTAAAGATACGAGGTTTTTAGGGCTTCAGGGATGAGTGGTTTCAGGCTTATGGAATTGCTAGTAAGCTACCAATATCAAGTTCTGGTCATCAGGTAAGAGGCAGTTTTCGTACGGTTTTGGTACTGCAGTTGTAGCGCGACGTCAGTTGCGTCGGGTTGTGTGCAGGGATCATAGCCCCTTCTGGCCTGTGGAGAATCTTTGCCTAAGGGTACTGGACATTACTCAATTGCGCATCTGCGCTCCCAGATCAGATGCTTCAATGAGTCTTACTTGAAGATTATTATAGCCATTAGCTCCAAGTTTTGCGTAGGGTCTTACGGACCTTACATCGGCTTGCAAAAGAGTTGCAGCAGACAGGGATGCGATGCTCGCTCCGGCTAAGAAGCAGCTGACAAGGGCGCAGCTTAGTTGTGACGTCGCCGAAGAGTGGCGACCTGAAGCAGGCCTTGCACATGGCCTGGGCAGGCATAGATGCCTCCAGAAAAAAGACTATGGTTCAGGGTTTAGGGGTTTAG